TGTCCCTAATTGCACATGAGTTCAAGTTAAGCAGTCTTTTGTGTGCGAATTCTATCCATAGATTAGCTAGCTTTTCGGTGACACCTAAGTACACCATGTGCATAGGATCTAGAGGAAATGTTGAGATCATTATAATTGAAAGCGTTTCCATAATTGAATGGCCTTGATGGTGAATAGATTGAGTCTGACGATTAAAGCTGTCATCCGTTCTTAAAGTATATTCACCATTTGGAAATGTCATTCTTCCCTCAAGCCGTCTACCAAGTACAGTACACCAGTCGCAACCTGCCTTACCATTGTGATTAACTGTGTACCTAATTGCAGAACGAGCAGATGTGTCACATATTACAGAGGACAAATTAATAGTTATGTATTTATTAAACTTAGTACTAAACAGACCCACGTCAGTCATTTCTTTTATTTCAGAAATTGTGTCAGCAGATAATTCGTTGAACTCTGCCGGTTTACTATTCCCTCCGTAGATCCCTATCATGAACACGTCACTACACCTTGGGGCAATGACCCGTCCTAATATTGTCCATAATTGTTGATTAGAGCTCCTAGAAATAGATAGTCCATCTACATTATTATGAAAATGTAAAGTATCGAATTCAAAAGTACGCAAAAAAGTTCAAAATATCTTAGCAAATTGGTTTTTAAACCGAGGTGATAGTAAACCCCACTGCTGATGAACTGTAGTTGGACACTTGTACACGTCTTTAGAACACTTCTGATGCCCCTTGGTAAGTCCGGAAACAGGTCTCTGAAATCATTCAGAATTCGATCAGCATCACTGACGCTGAGAAAGGTGTTTGTAGGTAATTTCATCAATACATTGTTGATCTGCTCTTTGCGATTAACGGACTTTTGAGAGAATAAATTAACGTCATTAGATCCTATAACAAATGTAGTCACGTATTCACTTCATATATATAGTTATTATCTGGAAGCCTTTGATTACTGTAGCTAGTAGATGGTGTCACATTTGAAGGATTCTCATAAGGAGTAATTTCTCTCTCCGCTGCTCTCAATTAAAAATGCACTACATAGAAAGTCAGTTACCTTTGATAGTGCTTTCATTAGAAAACTCACTAGATGAAAGCAAGTTATGTTTTCTTCATGAAAGCTGTTCGTATTTTATTCCACCGTCTGTTATAAGTCGATCTATGACAACCAAGGACGCTTGTCAAGTTAATAGTTGCCCTTTGTCTACGAGCTCTCTCAGTAACTTTAATGGAACTCATCTTATTGGACTAACAAGGCAATATATTTTAATGAACATGAAAAACGGAGAACACGTCACTCAGTTGCATCACGTTAGTTATTTGTGTCGGATACCAAGCATGTCCAAACACTTTAGTTAAACAAAAATAAAGTCAATGTATATGCGTGTCAGCCTAATCACTGTGTCCGTATTTTTTTGATTGTTTTTATGACAATAGTGATGTTTCTTTAATAAACGGTGAGTTATTTTGTCGTTGTTTATGAAAACATAAAAACTGGACGCGGCACATTCAACAGTCGTACGTAACGTATTATTGTCTACAAATATGCCCTTAATACACGACGTGAAGGCGAAAAAGCAACATTTCCCTTAAATAACCAGCGTAAAGGCGAAAATGCGACATTTCCCATTTATTTAAGCTTTCGTCCCCTTTATTTCCCCTTTATTGGTTGATTGGGGCATTATAAATTTTTGGGGAGATACAAAAAAGACCTGGAAACTTCCTTAGATGTGGGTCCTATTTAAATGGGACTTGTAGGGGTTCTCTAAATGCCAGTAAAAGATCAATGTCTCCCTATTGCACCATATGCTTGAATTCTAATTTCGTTCTTTTAATTTTATATAACAGTAGACGACGATTGTGTTTTTTTAGTCATAACCCAGTGACGAGTGGTTTACGTTATCATCGTGATAAGTCAGCTACAATTCATAAACTGGCGGACAATATCAACAGAAACTTCATTTACAAGGGTTCTTATTACACCCCGATGCACTTGGTAACACGAAAAATCTTATAGACGTGTAGTTGCACATAGTTGTCGATAGGCTTTCTTTTGATAACATCAACTAACAAGCTGGATGTGCTTAGAAGTTTTACACCCAAAAATAGGGGGGCGAAAATCCTCCACAATGAGAATTTAACTTAGACGACGTCTAATACTGATGTATGAAACATGTAGCTGTTCTCTAAAGGTGCTTTGGTTTCGCTTGCCTCTCACTAAATACTTGGTGCCCTTACATCTCACTGGGGTGGTGTGACTGAACTTATACTATTATTAGCTCCTGTGTCCACTGGGGAAGTTGGAATCTAGATTTCTATCCAGCGCTCAAAAGGTAACTATTGGGCTGGCCAGTAAAAGTTGTTGTCATTACAGTGTGGGATCTATTAATTCGGTTTTGAGACCCTCTTGTGGTTTAGTTACGAATCGGTAGTCGTAACGCATATAACTTCAATTTTCGAGTGGCTGCGGTTGTATAGTTGCTCCGAAAATCTGGCCTTTCAGCTATCAACAAAGTATTTGGAGTACTGCAATCCGACGTAGTATTTTGTAAATCAGCGGGTGGGTTTTATGACCTGAGGCCACCTCTGAAATTTCACTTGCCATTCCTCCTAGATTCTTTAGGTCTGATGATTGACTGGATTCCCACAGTTATTTGAGCTTCATTTGGTAGTTTCCGCTTCTACATCTCTTTAGAAGGCATCGTTAATTATATGTAGTCTAATGTATTGCTTCACCTGACGTAATAACGGGTGGTGACCTGTCCACGAAAGCACACTCAGCTACTGGCCGTTGCAAACGTTTCTCACTTGACATTGTTGTGCGTTGAATGATCTCATGTTTTAACTCATAAGCTTCAGAAAGTAGGACATTGCCTATAACATCTGACACCGGCTACCTCAGTGAGTAATGTCCTCAACGCACAAGGACATTTTGTATCCTTTGAATGGATATTTCGACTGTAAATCTGTACTTCATCCTGTGCAAACCATCAAGATGTGTTTTATTAATTGGAGGCTTATCAGTAGAATTCAGTACATTTATCTCATATTCATTAGCCCGACTGTGCTTATATGCTTGATCATTCTATTCGTCTTCTGATATATCTGTAATGAGATGCTCCAAGAATCATTATCATGGTAAAAAGAAACGTTATATTATCCACGCGTACGCTCAAACGTGTAGTTTCAGAGGTTAAATATGTAAAGAGCTCACTGCAGACTTGCAAGAATTTTATACGTTTTCCGTTCATCCTAAATTGCCTTCAAGCTTAAAATATTCATGTACATAGTGTGGGTTACTGGTAAGGTTCACCTGATGTGATTTTTATGAATTAAAGCAGAATACATAGGCATTCTTAATTATCGATTTGCTTGTATGAAACGTCCTATCATGTTCCCTCTGCATAATAACAAAAACTCACATGCAATGTACTTTTGTATTAAACACATATTTAGACTAATGCTTATCTTAGGTAAAATTGCCGACGATTTTCAAATAGCAGAATAAATGTTATTTAACTCAGTACTTACAGATCATTTCCATAGATCCTTCAACTACCAGTAGTTTCTTAAGAAGCATTTGTAAAATTTGTTCAGTAAGAGTAAGTCGTAACGATTTACATACGATTACAATAGCATTGGTTGTTTGGACTCTAATAATGAAGAAACAGGGTTATCTTCATGCTGAAGAATCGTGTTAGCGGAATTCCTAGTTACGAAACCACTTCGCTTTAATTTCATCCTGGTTACTATTCACCATACTTTTTTGTAATATGATTTTTGAAACAACAATGTGTTTTAAACACACGTATGTAACTTCCGGTGTACTAGGCTAAATAGTGATCATATCTTGAGCTTCTCTTTTTACACATTTACCTTCATCTACTTCTGATAAAACTTTATAACAAAACTTGAGATTATTAATCATATTGTTATGTTAACGCTGTTGTGAACATGTTTAACTTGGAAAGCTGAATATCTTGTAAGTTAATGTATCAAGTACTCAGAATGCTCTCTATCTAGGTTAATTGAATTCTTCAATCATTGAAACATGTGAATTCAAGTTTGTATTTCTGACCTTAATACCGATGACTTGGAGGCTAATGTATTAGATCTTCAACCACTACGCTATAGCTTTAATCCTCTATTTATTTTGTTGTGGTTTTGCTGAAATCATATGTGTACGTTTTTGAATAACTTGTATTTTCATTATTGCCGTTAATATCACTATTAATACTAAGTGACGAAAATTGGAAAACCAAAGATTTTGATTGAAACTTTGTGCAGATTGGATCTCTTTAAACTTTTAACCACAAAATGATACACTTATGTACATCGATAAGTGGGAAAAAATGTATCAAGGAAATAAATTGCCTTAAAAAGCAAAAAAAAATGCGACTTTACTGGTTGATCACATGTTCCAATACTAGTCGTGTGCTCGGTCATTCACATTGGAAATTTTTACAGTTTAGAGAAGATCTGGTTCTACATTTTATGCTTTGTAGTTTTTATTAAGCAAATGTCAGTCAGTCAGCTGCAACGTAGGACCAGGCACGTATATGCATCGGTCTAAGTTGCCATACCGCATTAGCACAACAAGATGAACACCGGATTCATAGAAGTAGTTAATTCAGTGGTGGTAATATATAGAAGAAGCAAATGTAATAACTCCGAATTTTTCGTTAGTTATTTAACATAAAGAAGTTATTTCTGAACTATGAGTTATTTGGCTAATCTTCCTTGAGACGACCCCACAGCATGTATTGTCTCCAGATACGTTGAGATCTTTCTACAGTGTTGATGAGACCATTAGCTTACAATTTACTTGTCACTGGAGCATTCGATACAAAGTCATGGGGACATTACTTTTGATGTTGATGTGATTGGATCTCTGACTACTTGTACCAAGTTATATAGGAGAGAAGAATGTTCTTTTTGCTGTCTTATCCTATAGTTGGTTCAGTCTATTGATTTTGTTGTCTCGAACATATTTTCATGTTATCAGTGAAACTAAACCTTGGATTTGTTTTCAAGTGTTTTCGTCTTTCTTATAGTATGGATGATAATAATAATGATGCTCCATTAGAAACTTCATTTAAGGAATTTAAGAAAAAGAAAATATATCTAACAGAAAACCTTAAAAGTGTTTATCAAGACGGTATTCAATCGTTAAAACGTAAACAAAATCGCAAGAGTGACCCCAGATTTGATCCTAGAGTTAATGGTATTTGTCATGTTGATGATTGGGAATTTTTAGAAGATGAAAGAGCGAAAACTTTAAAAGTATGTTACATGTTTTGGTGTATAATTATTCAATTCTGTTCTGTTTCTATGTGGGTTCAGTAAGTATGGATATAATATTTGACACAACTTCATTGATTTGCTATAGCACTAAGAGTAGATATCAAAGAAAACTTACAATACCACCTGTAAAGTAAAATGACTTTTAGAATAAACTAGTCAATGAAATTGAACGTACGTGCATCTGCTTAATGACCACCAATTTTGATCCACACAAACCGAACCTATCTATAACCGTGAATCCTGAGTTCTTAATTATTAATCTCTACCTTCTGATATGTCGCTACGTCCAAAATTTATAAAATTCAATACAGAACCATTTATGGTTCTTCGTAGAATATGATGTGTTATTCTATAAATCAATTTTACAAGGTTTACGAGATAAAAGAAACACTAAGAAGAAATTAGTACTAGTAGCAGAAAATACAAGAAGCTTTTGATTAGAGTGAACGTTAAATGTTATACAGGGGAGATATGCTGTTAATCTGAGTATATGTGGAACTCTCCTAAACGAGTGAGGTAGTACCTTAAAGTTACCAGGTTAACGGTTACTGTTGTACCCAATCTTTTCACTTCATAAAGATATTTCTACTTGAAACCCTTTATTGCGATAAGTAACTTAAAACATACCTCCAAATGCCCTGATACGGCCGAGAGTGGGAAGAGTCTGCTCTCACATGGTCACGTGCATACCACTGTCAGAAAAAGTCTTACTCATTGTCTTCTCGCGGCGTGGGTATTGTTTATGAAACTGAGAGGACAAAAGGCGAATGTCTGGCGCTATAAACCGGGTTTGTAGGTACAAAGGATCCACCTAGGGGAGTTACAAAACTCTGACTCCAAACCACTGGTGCATATAGTCTCCAGGATCCTGAAAGAACAAATGGTGTATGAACCAATTGTTAGTCACCGGCCACCATGGCATTACATCTCCTTACGTTGCTCCACTGACTTGTGGATTAGACCTTTAAGTCAAAGACTCAGGGAGTGGCCCCCTAAGATAACCACCTTCCTCGGTTTTGGCGCCCGGGCAGTATTCCAGCCCTCACACAAATCGAATTATTTATGTGGCGCATATCTTTTTGGTGCCTCTTCGTACCAATGTTTGTGTGTTTAAATAGATAAATAAAACATAATATGATGAGAAACGAGTTGTTTAGTCAAAATACCCTGGTTATTTCATATTCACTCTCATATATACTTTGGTCACCGAGGAGGATTTCGTAGTACTGTTAGATATTCTACAAGTTTATCAAGTCTCAAGACTTTGCCAACTGTAGACACGTTAAGAACTGTTAAAGATTTCATATATTAATACTAAATAACAAGTGTGGTGAATTTTTCTGATGTATTATTTTCTGATATTTTTATTTATTGAACGACTATTATCATAATTAATAAGCTGTATACTATCTAGTTCATCGGCCTATGTATTGTTTCCACAAATCATTATCGATCAACTAACTTTTGAAAACAACTTGATTTTACTTCGAGATTGTTATGTATTACATACAGATGAATACTTTAAAAGGGAAAATCCACGTTCACGGAGTTGCATGTTAATTCTTTTCACTCTAATTATCACTCCTACCCAACCAAAGCAACTTATATTTTCTACCCCAATCAACTGGCTATTCAATGTAGTTTACTGCGACTGTAAATCATTGTACTGAATTCAAAACCTACTATGTATTTCAAATTTGTTATGTTTTTCATCTGGTCAGTAACTAGTTATTTGTATATCGTCGTAAATATTCCTATTAAAATGTTTCTCTGCTTTCTGTTATGTGAATATATATTTCCAAACCAGAAACTGAGAAAGATGCTGCGTCAAAATTTAGACTCGGACAAACGTAAGGAAGTGACGGATGCGTTACATTTGGTAAGACAGCGAATAGCTACGGCAAAAGATAGAAAATTCCGTAAGCAATTCATGGATAAACTGCAGAAGGAACAAATTGAAAACTTGGAATCAGGGAGATCTGTTCGTTTTATTCCTCGAGGTAAGTACACATATATTACTTTCTCAAGAGCCTAAAATAACTAGGCATAATTTTCAGACATTCTTTTCTTTTTACGTAACTCTTTCGTCACATTTGGGTTTTCTAAAAACCATAGATTTGCATTTACTAAAGTTTCTATACCTAAAAATGAATAAATGCAATTCATTTCTTAAAGGAGATTGAGTAATGTGTCTAGTAGAACGTTTAGTAAACCGAATAAGAACGTTGAGAATACGTTTAAGAGCAAAATCAATGATTTCTTTGAAAATAGACACCTCTAACCAATCAATCAAGTCATCGATGTATGTACTTCATTTTATCATAATGAGATGTTTTGTAAAACCTGAATCAGATTAACTGTTTTATCGGTCTTCTGAATGCTTTATTTTCACTTCATGATACTCTAAACCTGGATTCAAAACATACAGTATGACGTAGTAACTTCTAGCCCAACATCTGTAAATCTTTTATCTTTTGTTTAGTTGAGCAGTACTAACCATCATTTAGCTGAAAATGCTGAACACATCTTTGTTATTCCGTTCGACTCGGGTTCAGAGCATTGAAAATTAATTTTCATCTATTAAATGGGTATACTCTTCACATCAACACTTCTGTTTTCAGCAGTTCCACCACCTGCACTTGTTTTCCTATTTGAGCGATGACTTGTCACTTATCACTTAATAATTTTAACTATAATCCCCGTGCGTGCGTATAACGGTCTTCCATATCGACGTTTTTTATCCAACTTTGTCATATTTACCTTTTCAAAGGTAACAGTTTCTTCCTTCAGTTGGTTATTAGTAGTTTCCTACCTGAATGTTCTCTAATTCTTCTGGGATATACAGGCAAAACTTTTTCAGTGCTAATAATGGCAAAATACAGTTTCATTAATATTTGTATTGATACTATAAGGATATTTGATATCCGTTTCTCACTTTTGAAATAATAATAATAATAATAATAATAATAATAATAATTATTATTATTATTATTTTTATTATTATTATTATTGTAGGTATCATTACCAAGATTTGATTTGATAATTTCGAATAAATTGAACATTGGGTAGATTGTTATAAATAAATAGTATATTTGTAATATCCCAATGAGTAGAAAAATTAGATTTTCTGACGTTTCGTGACTTAGTGTAAGTCAATTATTCAGAGAACAAATAACGAAATTAAAACTAATCCAAGTCTAAATAGTACAACGGAACAATAAGAATAATATGTGATCAATCAAAAAAAGGTCTGAACAAGTTAATGTCATGTCATTTCGGTCAAGGTGATTCATAAGTGATATGTATGTAAATTTGTGTTTATGTACGTGTGTACTGTTTAAGGGTGAAAAATTGTTGTGTGACATTTATGGTGAGAAAGGGTAAAGTTTAATTTGTAAGATGATAGTGTGAATTGTAAATAAGATCAGACTGAGTGGCTAGGATAGATAGTCCAAGTAGGATGTATAGTATTATGGGGGAATCGTATCGTGCTCACAGCGGAAGGTTAGCACTCTTGGTTGGATTCCGTTCGGGAATCACAAACTAATAACGGTCATTAAATGCTTCCTAATATTTATATGCTCTTTGTAATAGAAACTATCTTTGAGAATTAGTTATGGTTCGTTTCGTTGTCCTAAAACCGTGTTCTTTTTGTTGGACTTTAGGTCAGTTCAACAAGTATTTTTTTATGTCAGAGCTTACTTACACTATTAACATAACTTTGTTAAACTAATTTTCCAAATTTGTCAGCGGAGCTCCGTAAACTCGTTCAGAATGAACGTCTGGCACAAATGAGCAAACGGCAAAAAGAGCGGTATTTGAATAGGAAAAAAAGAAGATTTACTTTGGATGATGGATAAATTTATTTATATATTCTGCATATAGTTTTCCTAAATGATACGTTCAAATTGCCCACTGTAAATTACTGTGCATTTGTAAAAATTATTACCTCATTCCAACCATGTTGTATTTTTTGTCCTCTATCAGTATCTGGTTTTTTTTATCTATAATCCATGCCGCCAAACGTTTTTTTCTGTTTATATATATTCATTTATTTTCGGTAACATTTTAGTATTCGGTTTATACTGAAACTACACATGTTTACTAATAGTGTTATATATATATATATATATATATATAGCTTTATTTCCACTATTCTTTCAATTTATTAATCTTAATTTTCTTACATTAGGATCAGTACTCAGTGATTGCTCTCTCAAATGAACTGGTATTTAGCCCTGGAGATATAAAAAACTATTATATAATTTTCAGTTTAAATAATGTTCGTTCTCACAGGTGCACTTATTTTAAGATATAATATATATAAGGTGATATAACAATCAAAAGACTTCATTACACTCAATATAGAATAAGTTTAAGATTTGAAGATTAAAACAATACATATTGAAGTAAGTCAGAAAGCTTCATATCAGTAGTAAACTAAATTCATTCTTCTATTCACACAAAGTAAGTTTCAACTGGTAGGAGAACGAAGTCTATGTGGAGTAAATAGAATGTGGCTAACAATGGGGTCCAGCATGTGATTTTTCCTGCTTGGGATTCTTCAGGTGGGTGTACCTGTACCCTAGAGTTAATGTCCATCCCGGTTTTCAGACCTACTGCCTTTTACTTCGAATGTCAACTTGACTACTCCATCCAGACAGATACATGTGAAGATGGTATAGATTTTCCGACTTGTAGTGGTTTGGATTATTGACATTTGACAAACGGGTGATCATATGAAATTTTAGTGTCAGTCGCTACGTTAACCCTACATAGTTTATTCTAACTTCCGAACAAGCCAATCTATTCATTCTTCTTAAACCACATTTTGTTTTTAGATAAGCGTATGTGTGTGCACATCTTATCCTACTCATCATGTGTCTGTAGCTTGTTTTATCTGGTTACAAATATTGATTAAAGCTTGACTAAGTCGAGTTGGCCCACTTGCCCCCTCCAATCTGCTTCGCTTTCTCCTTTGTTTGGTCTCATTAATTGTCTTTTCAGATCACTGGGCAATCCTTTCCAGTTTCTTATTCATCCCTATTATATCTGTTTCTATTTCCCGACGTAATGTGTTTTTTGGCCTTCTTCTTTTTCCGCTTCCCTTCAGGATTCCAGGTTAGCACTTGTCTTGTGCAGTTTGATGATTTCCTCAATGTATGTCGTGTCCATTTACATCATCTTTTCCTAATTTCCTCTTCATCTGGAAGCTGATTTGTTCTCTCCCACGGAAGGCTGTTGCTGAAGGTATCCGGCCAATGGATGTTGAGTATCTTGCGTAGACAGCTATTGATAAATACTTGTACCTTCTTGATCGTGGTTGTAGTAGTTCTCCACGTTTCGTGCACAGACCAAATCGCTACACTACGGATCATCGTCGAACAATAGGTTGAGTGGAATTCGTCACCATACATTAATTACATTGATTAAGTTGTAGCGTGGAGTCGAGTTGCTATTGACTATGAACACCACTACAAGAAGACTACGTGCCAATTAACCAATAAGATCCCCGTAGGCCAATATCAGAAGGCAAATGATGGCTGTAGTCGAGATGTATTTGTTGGCGATCTCGTGGTATCGAAAGGATACCGAGATCGTGCCAAAGGAGTACAAGCGTGGTTACTAAGCGTAACCGAATTCGTACAAGTCCAAAGTCAACGGGAGAGTGAGTGTAATAGCTGCCACTAGCATAGTTAAACAGACGAGCACAGTAAAACAATCATTGGTACATTTGGTTATAATAATAGTTGTTTTCATTAAATCAAACGCAATCTGTTGACAAAAGTAGGTCACTGCGAAGTAAGAGCTTAACAGTGTAGATAGGATAATACGATGGGAACTTCTTCGACACCATGGTGTACCCGGGAATGTTGTTAACATCATTCGGAATTCATACGACGGACTACACTGCAAAATGGTGCATGGAGGACAGCTGACAGATGCATTTTAAGTGAGGACCTGAGTCAAACAAGGCTACTTACTCTCCTCCTTATTCTTCCTTGTGATGGTTGGCTGGGTTATAAAGATTTTCACATCTGACGGGAAGCACGGAATAAAATGGACAGGTTAGATGCAACTAGACGACTTGGGTTTTGCAGATGGTCTGGCCCTTCTATCTCATACACACCAACAAATGCAGGTCAAGACGAACAGTGTAACATCAGCATCTGCATCAGTAAGCCTCAACATACACAAGGGAAAAGCTAGATCCTCAAATACAACACGGAGAACACCAACCAATCACACTTGATAGAGAAACTCTAGAAGAGGTGGAAAGTTTCACGTATCCGGGTAGCGTCATCGATGAATGTGGAGGATATGATGCAGACGTAGGGGCGAAGATTGGCAAAGCAAGGACAGCATTCCTGTAGCTAAAGAAATAATGGAACTCAAAACAACTGTCAGTCAACATCAAAGTCACAATCTTCAGTACAGACGTCAAGATAGTTCTATTGTACGGAGACGAAACTACGAGAACTGCTACAACCATTGTCAAAAAGGTACAAGTATTTATGAACAATTTTCTACACAAGATACTCAATGTCCGTTGACCGGATACGTTCAGTAACAACCTACTATGGGAGGGAACGAACCAGCTTCCTACTGAAGAGTATGTTAGGAAAATATGCTGGAAGTGAGTATGATACACATTAAGGAAATAATGAAATTGAATCACGAAGCAAGCGCTAACATGGAACCCTGAATGGAAATGAGACATAGGAAGGTCAAAAAACACACTGCAATGGGAATTATAAGCAGACATGGAAAGGATAAGTAGTAACTAGAAAGAACTGGGAAGGGCTGTCCATTCTTCTTCCTTTTCTTTTTTCGGTGCCACGAATGTGGTACGCAGAGGTGGGATTTGGGGCAAATGTGCGTTTGATGAGGTCATGTTTTGTATAATGTGCCGTTTTCGAACAGCTTATAACAACTGTGATCTGGTATTACAGTACCAAGACACAAACTCGTTTACTGGTCAGTTCGACTGTATTTATATTCCATCTAAACCTTTCACCGATGCTATCTATTCGATGACGTCATGTAGGTGGTCTGTCATCTGCAAACTCGTTTTCTAACTTATTGGATAAAAATACAGTAATCCTTGCAAGTTTTCTCTGGTTTCCGTCCTCAACTTCACTGTTTGAACCCATCTGTCAGGGCTCGTTCAACAGCCACTTTGAGTCATGGACTTCCACTTGCCTCATTAGTGTTGACGAGTGCCAAGCACCTTGTCAAAAACCTTTTTGCACGTAAAACCATTTACCTCTTGAGTGAAGGAAGACAGACGAAAAAAAAGGAATTGCAGATAACTTGATATATACCGTAGCATAAGTAACTCAAGCGAAATTGATACAAAAGTTGTTACTTCAGTAACAGAACACGACTTTCGAGCATGTAGCAACTTAGCGAACTAAAAATACATGACAAGCAATCACAGGGCAAATTTCATGCAGAAAGTCGAATTGTTAAAAAGTATGTGAGTGGTTATCATTCCAGGAGAGATTTCTTTTCTTCTAATAAAATCTGATTTTTTTTTTGTGACCGCCTTAGCAAAAAGTGAATCCGTGCTTATGAAATAAGCCATTTTCACCACTGATGGCTCTGCTAGACAGGCAAGTAAACAAACAGCCGTAACGCCTTTCGATAGCTTGTTCTAGTTTGGTATAGACAAGTCTGAGCTAATCTGCACCTACTGATTTGAAAGGCGGTGAGTGGGCCTCAACCTGGATTTTCGGAAACGGTGTCATTATTTAGGAACATGGTGTAAAATGATGTTTCCGACAGACGAAATCTGGATGATAGAGTAAATTTGTCAGTACCTGTAGTAACCCATTGTATATCTCATCGGGTCCCATGGATTTGCCCATATCAAGTATGTTTAGCAGACCAGAGACACCGGGTTCTTTAATGATCGCAGTGTATAGTGTATATGAAAGTTGATCTTATATGAACCGAGGTGAGGGTATGTCTACGGTATACAAATTGCCGAATCGATTTGAGAACACCTAAGCTTTGCCATAATCGTCCTCCGCTAATTTTGCAGCACTACCATCTCTGAGATATTGTCTGGTCAAAACGTAGTGACCACGGTGAGAAGCTTTTTGAACCCCTTGATGTAGTCTAAGAGATATGAGGTGCAGTGACTTTTATAAACAATTTTCTGAATGCTTCCTAAAGTGTTTCAATGAGGGATCATGGCTCTAAAGGCGAATCTATTGGGAATTCTGAGTTCACAACGACCTCAATATTTACTTTCCGGACGTTTGGTCTGGCTTGAGCTGACACATACTCATTTTTGAAGATTGAAAATTAGAACTGCGTGTTCACATTTTCGCGGAGATGGCATATAACTGTAACCCTCACAATGGGTTAATATGAGATCTAATAAGGACGGTTTAGAGTCCAGGTCGTTCCTAGTTGCTTTTTTCACATGTTGCACTTGGGCACATATGATAATCGCATCAAATAGTTTCTGTTCGGAGGCCTTTTTGCACAGTTCAATCCGCAAATTTTTTCAGTCTACTCTAAGTGCATCAAAGCCTCTTAGACTAAACATTGACGACTTTGTGGCCAAGTGTTGAGACCGTCAAGCAAGACCTCATTCATCTCACAGCTTGGACCAGACAAATCAGCGACCGATTCTTTTTATTCCACGCGGCAACCAACTAATTCACACATACTATTCGCTCGACCGAATGAATATTTTCCGATGAATGTCAACTAGATTTGCCGATATTTCTTTTAATAGCATTCACCATAGCAGTGGCCTCGGATAGCAAGCCGTTTGCACCCGAACGGCACTGCTGACAAAAGCCATCCGCAACTTTTTTGCTAGAGCGTTTAAAAGATTCACAAAAACTTCGTGAAAAAATCTTTTGCATTCATAGCACTGCATGCCGCTTTTTTACAGAATATCAACAGACGAGGTGTTGGCAATTGCTTTGTTAGCACTGCCCAGTCATCATTCGTAGGTTTTCAGAGGGAAGTCGACACGAACACTTTACGAAGACCGGAGCAATTGATGACCAGAAAAAATGGAAAACTGTAAATTGCTAGAACCAAAACAACAAATGTACTCAAAAGTATTGATGACAAATTACTTACGGAAATAAATATACTCTTGGTGATTAAGTTATTTGAAATAAATTCGATTAAGGTGAAAACAGAAGTTTTGATTCTCAATTCACGATCAAAACAAAATCAACTCAGGAAAAATAGGCTGCTATTAAACGCAACCCGATTTCGTAAATGTAGCTGTCAGATTAGCAACTAATCAGAATGAGGCGGAAATTATTATACCCGCCATCTTTGTAAGCAATGGCGGTCCGCTTTCCACGTTCTTTGTCTTTTCAGCTATTATTTTTGTGTAGCTACCTAATTTAATGCTTCAGTGTGCTAAAATGCTGCAGTTAGTGTAATGTTCTAACTGGTGGCGTAAAATTTCTTTCGATTCAGCATTGCTTTCTGGGTTTTTGTTGCTGCTACTAAAGTCAATGTTCTTCTCCAGGCAAGCTCGCTAGTCTTATGTTATAAAATAATAATCTGTTTTGTTTTGACTATTGTTTTTCAGATATCCAAAGCCGAAGTTAGCTTTTTCTGGGTAAAATAAGTGCTTCTGCAGCCTGTGACTAACTGTCCGCAGTTCTTTCCCAACTGTCCTTTATGATGTTACGGGGGAAATGAAAGAAAACGATCTACGGTTTTTTAATTTTCTTCAGTATTATGGAAAACTTTATCCCACCAACGCGTCAAACTAATACTGAGTGCCCAGCAGTGAGGGATATCACTAATGTTTTCGAAAAGGCCCGGAATTTTATTAACCATTAACAAAGTCAGAGATGCTACCAATCGATTACAGAGGGTGTTTAAATAAAAATTTACCATATGACAGTATTAGAAGGGTGTCACTCATTACGTCGTGCGTGAAAGCAAGCTTAAATAGTGCGTGTCGTTCATCAGTTACAATACTAACAGTTGCTACGACACCGTAAATTGGGTGGGACTGAACCCTGAACATAAGAATATTTACAAATAACTAATAGGAATGGGGAAAATTGCGCAGATCTCAGTATAAACACACGATCCTGACTGGTAAGTAGGATTATTTCTAAAAGAACAAAGTGTAAACACAACTTATACTCCTTGAGAGTGGTCAAATGCTAGAATTCACTGTCGGCTGATCCAGCCTAAGCGACTTCACAGGAGTCCTTCAAGAGAAAACGTGGTATGTTCCAAATGAGTAAGGATAGTACCTTCCTATGATTTATTAATTTATTTTTCCTCTTTTATCAAAAATATACCTAGGCTCCTGCCCGGAAGTAACGGTGATCCACTTCTACTAGACATGGAAGCCAGTTAAGCGAAAGCTTCTATTGCGTTCAAAACCATCTGAACAATTTCAATAATTTAGCGCGTGGTCTGTCCTGTTGCGCTACCAAGTGGGTTAGTTTACTTCTGATTCGTAAGACATGGAATGTGGTAAGAGTGCATGCATTAATAAAATTCAGATAGACAAGTGTCAAGTGGAACATTATAAAAATGCGACGCCACAGTTCCCTTGCCATGTTATATCTGCCATTTCACTGTTATTCTCTAATATATTTAGTGGTACGTCGTACTACTAATCAATATGCCCATTTTATGAGCTTTCTCTAATTTGGTGTTCGTACTGAAATTCTCCACGGAACTCGTTATTGGTAGACTTACAAACTTACAGATACACTTGCAACGTTGCAAAACCGTACAGGTTTATTAACAATAGTATACAAAACCCGAACTAAGGAAACCTAATCTGTAACTGTGTTTGGAGGTTTAGTTTACTGACCAGAGCTGACTGACATTATTTAATTTGTATGTACAAATTGGGAATTAGTATTATAACCTGACAATTATCGTGATCATTTTCGTTCTAGTTATTGACACAAAAAGGTTCCAGTCGTCGTTTGGTCTTCAATATTAATATGCTACGATCATCTTTTCTTTGTAATTCAAAAAAGTGGAATCTACTGCACAGACTTGTTCATTCAGAAGCTATCACTTATACTGAGCATGGCGATCCAGAACAGGTTTTACGTTTCTCATCCACTCCAGTACATCCGTTTGCAAATGACGAGGTTTTGGTAAAAGTTTATGCAGCTCCTATTAATCCATCGGACATCAACACGATACAAGGCACTTATCCAATCAAACCAAAACTACCTGCTGTTGCTGGGAATGAAGGTGCGGGTAAAGTAAGCATGATTAATACTCCGTGAGTTGTATGTTACCAACAATAAGTGATAATTTGTGTGTTTTAGTTTCCATCAAATCCTGTTTCTATTATCAACCTATTACAACGTCTATTCTACTTCGACTTGTCAAGAAGTCATGGGACATGAGTTTAACTAGTATAATTAATTTGCCAGGTACAAACTTATTCAGTTAACTTTAAACCACACTTTGACGGCTAGTAATTTTTCCAGAACACCAAGAAATCATATTAGGAAAACCAACGATCAAATCAGTACATAATTAGCACGTACATTTAACACCGAATCACCGTTCTACTCAAAAACCCTTAATATTCTATTGGATTTTGCCGTCAAACTTTTAAAGTTTAATTTAGTGACATTTCGTCCTTCAACTGTGTTCATAAGTGTAGCTTTAAGAGTGGTTTTAGGTCACTTTCAAAGTTAGTCAGGCACACTTTAGTGTTCAACCCATAGTTAATTGCTTTTAAAATCTGAAACGTATGTCAGCGATAGAGCAGTCTATAATTCAAATAATGTAGCTAAGCTCTCCTGCTGTTCAATTCCGGTTGCAATCACAATGGACTTCGGAAATCAAGTATCTATTTGAAACTTTTCCGGTGAATTGTTGTGGAAATAGTGTTCATGTTTCATTGTCTCATATCGCCTAGCGTATCTAGTAGATATACAGTCAATTTTGTAGTTATAAGGGTACTATCCCATCTGTTTAAACTCTTACTTATAAGCAATACAGTGTTAATGTTAGTTAGCTTCGGTTTGCGCGCCCGGGTAGTATCTCAGCCCTCACACAAATCGAATGATTTGTAGCGCATATATATTTGGTACCTCTTTGTATTGATGTTCATGTGTTTAAATAAATAAGTATATAATATTGTTATAACTTGTGACCCGCCAATTGTTATATGTTGTGATGCGTGCGGATTGGAGGACAGCGAATTATCGATCGGACCAAAGACACGTAAACACGTAAGAACAGCCTAGAGTTCTGATTGGCCCTGCCTCCCTGTCTAGCTCAGCCAGTTGAGTCCAGAACGCAAGTCTCAGCCTCCCATATGAATCATTATATTTCAAATATACTCTGTTTACATACCAAACAAACAGACTACATCGTACCATAAAATAGAAAGTAACATTTGTACAAGATTTGACCTCCAGGAAATAACACAAATAAATCTTGACCAACGGGAAAATGACACGTTGGAAGAATATTGACCAATGGGGAAATGACACCATTTCTCATTCAGGAATAGCATTTGATAATTTCTGGGGTATTTTCTGAATACCCCAACAAATATAAACAAACGCGTTGATAAAAGTGACCAAATATATTAGATAATAATGAGTTAGAAACAGTTACTTGAGTGGATTCACGTAAGATGCCTTGGAAGGTTTCAGCAGTTATTTTTTAGTAAAAAATCGTTATTTTGGCATTTACTTCTATGTATATACGGTACTAAAGGCTGGAACCATGTTTACAACAAATCAATAAATTTCCACCTGTTTTAATGTCACAGTTAAAACCATTAATATTATTTATTGTTATATCAGATTATTGCCTGTGGGAAGAATGTGGATGGTTTCTCTGTAGGCGATACAGTTATTCCTTTGGAATTAGCGTCAGGGACATGGCAAACATACTGGTGTGGTAAAGCTGATAGTTTCTTGAAGATAAAACATCCCATCCCGATAACTTATGCTGCAACATTAGCAATTAATCCTAGCACTGCACTTCATTTACTTAATAATTTTGTAGAACTTCAAAAGGGCGATATTTTGATTCAAAATGGTGCGACTAGTGCTGTTGGAATATATGTGATCCAAATCGCGAAAATATTAGGATTTAATACAGGTGAGAATTTTATCTATTTTATCAACTTATCTTGACACTACCTTTCTATTTTATGTGTTTAGTGAACCTGTTTCGTGAAAGAGATACACCTGAAGCCACAGAAGAAACACGCAATCTTCTTAAAAGTTATGGAGGTACATGGTGTCTCACAGAGTCTGAATACATGGAACGAGCAAAAGAACTAGGCCCTTTTAAACTTGCATTAAACTGCTTAGGGGGGAAACCTGCATCGATCTTGGTAAAAAACCTAAGTCATTCCGGGACTATGGTTACATACGGTGGAATGACACGAAATCCAATGCCCTTACCCGTTGGTCCATTCATTTTTAAAGATATCAGTTTACGCGGTTTTTGGCTGTCTAATTTTAATCTACGTCAGTCTACTTCAAAAAGACAACTTACTGTCGATCAATTATCAAAATGGTTTTCTGAAGATCTCATTAGACCCTCACCATTTGAAGAAATTCCTTTCAAAGATTGGCGTAAGGCGTTGCATATGTCATTATTCAGTGATTCAACACCAACAAGTATTAGGAAAAAGTCTGTTTTGATTATGGAATGATGTAATAATTTCTATTGTAAATTACTGTGTAAATTGTAATATTACTGAGTTAGTCGCTGTTTTGCTTTTTTATCTCCAGAACTTAAAATTCCTACTGTTTAGATCTTACTTATACACCGACTTGTAATTACCATTCTACAAATTTTATTCATTCGTTGGTTGTATTTTGACTTCAATTCAAGAAAATAATTTTCAAAACCATCTTTTTTGTACCTTTACATCTGTATAGTATACTAAGTAGCGTATAAATTATATATTAGATTTAGGATTTTGGTTCGTTAATTTAGAGTCGTTTATCAATCAAAATAATATTTGTTGCTTTCAAAGTGTTTATATTCATCGCTGCTTCAAATTAAACAACATAGGTTAGCTCTAGGTTTTGACCGAAGTTTATTGGTCAATATATATATATATATATATATATATATATATATATATATATATATATATATATATCAGGTAACCTATTGCATGTCAACTTTGTATATTATTTAAGCGGCGAATAGTAATGTCATGACTTTTTTTATTGTAAACTAATAAGTATTCGGAAAAAGAAAGAACGGCCATATTTTCAGAATACTATGAATCCACTGTATTTTGTTGCTTTTTTCTTCGGCTATATGCGAACTAACTCACCTGATTGTGAGTTGAACTCACACGTCTGTTCTTTTGCCAGAGTTCGTATAAATCTTTTTTACCTTAAATATCGTCGGACTATCACCCGAAGGATTTACAAAAACCCTGTTAACACGTTTATTTTTAATATCTTTCACATTTCAAGCAACTTATTTTTTATCAATTGGCAGTCCTTTTTTCAACATTTTGTTAATAGTCGAAAACAATTAGGCTTATTAACTTGTACGTAGCTTAAGAGAAGGCAACGAAATACAATAAATCCCTCGTCTTCTCCAAAGATCGTTGTTTTTACTTTGTTTAAATTTGTACAGTGAACCAATTGCTTGAAATCAGTTTTTGTTTTGTCGCTGAGAAGCTGATCTCAAAAACCCACTTTCGAGTTTGAGATCGCTATGGAGCGAGTTAATTATTTATTTTAGTTGCCTCTTCTAACACAACTTACTAGTTATTATCAGAGCTTTTTGCGATGATTTTGAATTTCACTCCCGACCAACACCGTATAAACACCATGGTATAGTTGGTGACACCGTCACGATGCGCATGTTTAGTTTACCACTGGAGACGTATTGGTTTTTTCAGCGTAGTTCCGACCGTAAGGTAACAAATTTGACAGACAATAACCTATTTTATACCATTTCAGCACAAATTACTTCTAAATTAAACCCTTGCTGATAAGTGCCGACTGGTACGAAGTGTGTATTCAGGGCTTTCTAGCGGTTGCTTCCAAACACTCAAATATTGAACGCTGTAACTGATCATTGAACGATTAGCTTTTTTATACAAAAGATAGAAGTTTCTGGTTATATTTCAAGTATACTATAGAGGATCTAATTTTACGTAGATTTTTAGTTCACGGGCTAGTATTATAAAAATCCCACCTCAGTTTTTTAAATATGTTTGTAATAATTTACTGTTTGTGTAAGGCGACCAATTGGCAGACAATATACATAGACGTAACAATATATAAACTAGAAGTTTTTTAGGCCACTATACCTCTTGTCAGTGGTTAAGTTGAAACTTCACGAAGCGGTAAAAAGAACCTAATGCTCTTCAAAACTCATTCCTTGGTACTATGTTGAACAGGTTATATCCTACTCAAGAAGATACTCAGTCAGTCCTTTGAGTTTTTCAGCTCAAACACACCAGAGAATGCACTGATCTGTTTTGCTTCATAATATATCTGCATTTGCATCTTAATTGTATGTCACATCATATTAGCAACCAACAGAATACAAATAAATTATCTTAGATAAATAGATTTTCATAGGATGTAAAGGAATAAATCATGGTATGGTTGCAAGAATATATCAAAATAGTAGTATGAAAGTGTCGATAAGACACAGGTTATTACTCGTTTCCAAGTGCGTAGTTTATAAATAGTATGATGCAACTTAAGCTACTTAATAATAACAAGTAATATGGCTTAACACACAAACTTAATTTCCTCCCAAGTTGTGTACCCTGTTTTTATTGAATTTAGTACTAACTCCAATCTACTTTCAACTTCTCATAGATTATTTACCATTTCGATAAGTTCGGGAAAATAAAGCCAGTTCAGAGAGAACTTTTTTTTGATAATGGGTTCCTGTGATTTCTTGACTCATCGCTTACACATCTTCAACACTAAAAATTCAAAACTACCTTGATGGTTGTTCAACAAAGATATAATGCTTCTTATGCTACAATTCACATACAAAAATTTTCTTACCCTCTTTACAGTTTATCATTATTTTCGACTAATATTGACTGTAGATTTTTACTCAAGTAAAAACACACTTTCATGTCATACTTAATCAGTATCCTTCTAATTTCTTCTGACATCCCTTTATGATGAAGGAATACCATAGACTGTAATCTATGTTTTATAAGTAATTGATTGCCCTAAGTATAGACATGTCTAATTACAGATATTATCATTTCTCTACTGTCTTTACAAAAAGATGGCTAACGACTTGTTAAAAACTTCTGAGTCTGTTACATTAGTATTTAAGATGATGATTCTGAAGGACATGAAATTATCAATTTATAATATCTCAATGATTCATCAACGCCCAATCAACCGTAGTCAAGGAGGAACATGGGATTAGCTTGAAAGTAACGATTTATTTCTACGAGATAGAGTGAAGTAAATAAACTGGTTAGGTAGAGAGTATATGCTAACAGCATAACGTACACGACCAGATCCAAAATAACATGGCTGATTATTCATATGCCATCAGTTAGTTTAGTTCATGAGATCAAATTTTCAACTGACTGTCATTTATAATAAAGATATATTTACAAGTTACTGACGTATGTTTTAACTTTTGATTCAAATATTGTTATAAATTTGATGTTTCGAAAACATTAATCTTAGTGTGATTTCTCTCCCGTCATGTAATAAAATGGTTGAGCTTCCCTGACTCTTAATCGAAACGCCCACCCAAATTGTTGAATAGATCTGACCAAAAGGATAGTAAAGCTACGTCAATAAATGGCTTTGCACTACAACAATATAATGTGGAATTATTTTGTCTTTTTTAAAAAGTCATTCTGTGGTCTACGAGCAAAGATAGATGTTGGCTAACAGTGGAGTTCAGGATGTGCGTTTTGTCCCATTCGGGACCCATCACGTGGATGTACCTGCTCCCGAGTTCTTCGGTAGTTACTAGGCTGGTGTCTCTTCTAACAACCAGAGCAAAAATTGATATAGGTACATGGAATGTTCGGACAATGTGGGAGACCTGGAAGACAAATGAAATATCTGCAGAAATGAGGAGATACAGGTAGTTGCACTAACCAGACCAAAACATAGCACAAATCCATGAAGTCACTGACAAGTGGACTGAGCTATGTTGGTAGGTAGACTACCTGGTTGGGATCCGCGAGACGATAGCAACCGATGATTAGAGACCTTGAATGACATGGCTCAAAATCGTTTGCAATGGAGCAGGTGCATCCACTCTTTGTGTTCTCCCAAATCCTAATGTTCTGAATTTTTTGTCCCTTTTTTCCTCTTTCAAATTTTATATCACTGGATTGTACTCCTTGAATGACATCTTCAAACCCTAATATTTCCGATTACTGCTTATACTTTTACTACCTCTACCACTACGGGATTTGGATAGACATCTTCATCTCTGTGCTAGTGTGGTTTGGCAACTCGAACTGGTGTACGTACGTACGAAGTTCTACGTTGTTACTAACTGACTGACTGTTCAATGTTGCACGAAAAAAAACTTACAGGATCCCTATAAACAAAGAAGGAGGGAATCACAATGAATGTCATCCACTTATGTACCCACACATGATAGCAACGACGAGGATAAAAATCAGTTTTATGAGAGGCTGCAATCGATCGCAGAGAAGTGCTCAGGAAAGGACCTGACTATCCTGATGGGAAACCTAAACGTCAAAGTCGGAATGGATAACTCCAAGTATGAAGATCTCATGGGACGACATAGACTGACTAGGAGAAAGGAACGAGAACGGTGGCATTTGAAAATTTATGTGCGTTCAACAAAATGGTTATAGGTGACACTATATCCCCCCACAAAGCTACATGGGTCTCACCGGATCACATTACATGGAACCAGATCGGTCATATTTTCATCACTAAAAAAATCATAAGATTTGTGGCGGATGTGAGACCAAAGAGATAAGCTGACATAGCTTCAGATCACCACATGGTAGTTGCCAAGATGAACCTGAAGCTAAAGAAGCACTAGATAACTGGAGAAACAGTGCTGAAATGGTTTAATACAGCCTTCCTTCGAGACACTGAAAAACTCAACCAATTGAAGATAGCTCTCAGCAATACGTTCTAAACCTTCTTCAACACTATGGTGTACCTCAGAAGATCGTCGTCATCATCATCATCAGGAATTCATACGACGGATTACACTGCATATAATACGATTGACAGATGCATTCCAAGTGAAGACTGGCGTCAGACAAAGCTGCCTTTTGTGGTTCTTCTGGTGGTCAGTTGGATTATGAAGACCACATCTCAAGGAGAGCACAGAATACCATGGACAGCTTGGATGCAACTAGACGATTTGAACTTTACAGATAACCTGGCCCTTCTCTCTCATACACATCAATAAATGAATGTAACAGCAGTCTCTGTATCAGTCAGTAACAACGTGGAACTTCGTACGTACGTACATCAGTTCGAGTTGCCATACCACATTAGCACAGAGATTCAGTTATCGATTCAAATCCCATAGTGGTAGAGGTACTGAAAGTATAAGTAGAGATAGGGGACATTAAGGTTTGATGATGTTATTAAAGGAGTATAGTCCAGTGGAATAGATTTGGAAAGAAAATAAAGGACATGAAGAATACAGAAGATTAGAATTTCAGAGAACACAAAGAGTGGATGCACCTGCGCCATTGCAAACGATTTTGAGCCATGTCATTCAAGGTCTCTAACCATCGGTTGCTATCATCTCGCGGTCCTCAACCAAGTAGTCTACATCTACCAACATGGCTCAGTCCACTTGTCAATGACTTTATGGATTTGTGCCATGTTTTGGTCTGGCCGCCTCTAGCTTTCTTCCAACCTACTCCTACACCAGAAAACATCGCACGTCGGGGCATTCGGTGGTCTGGCATGCGCAACACATGTCCCAGCCATCTCAACTGAATAAGTTTCACTACTTCCTCAATTGATTTGCCATCCTTACCTAGTACCCGTTTCCTAACAACTGCATTACTTACTCGGTGGTCCCAGGATATACGAGCGATGTTTCGAAGACACCTATGGTCAAATACTAGTAACCTACGAATATCCTCTACTCTTACTGGCCATGTTTCACTGCCATAAAGCAGGACGGAACGAACTGCTGCGCAGTAAACACGTCCTTTGGTTGATAGACGGATATCTCACCTACACCACAAATGACGCAAGTTGGCAAAAGCTAGTCGAGCCTTTTGTATCCGTGCTGAGATTTCGTCACACACCAAACCACAAGGGCTGATGAGAGTTCCGAGATAAGTGAAGCGGTCGACACGCTCAACTACTTCACTCCCTATCACTAGTTAGGGTGCCGATGCAACCCAATCCTGAAGCAACATTTTGCATTTCGAGGGAGAAAATCGCATGCCGAACATGCTTGCATTGTTGCTTAGAGTAGTCAGTAGACTCTGCATTCTGTCAGCGTCTTCACTAAATAGAACTATGTCATCGGCATATTCTAAGTCAACAAGTGGATCTCCCGGTAGAAGTTCAACTCCTGGAAATTTAAATGAGGAAAGTGTCATCTCTAAAAGGACGTCAACGACAAAGTTAAA